TTGTTGAATATGTCACACGGAGAGAAAATATGCAGATGTGGCTCTCCCAAGACTCGTTGCAAACAACATGCCTTCAACTGGGCCTAAGCAACATTCGCCACGTATGGCATATAGAAACAAAAGATCCATAAGATATGCACTCAGTTAAATACTAATATGCTTCAGTAGGTAACGCCTGTTTTTTACCTTTGTTTCGTAGTTTAACAATAAAACTTTAATTTACCGCTTTAATGAGAAACGTCCATGTGGTACCGAATTTATATTTGCGAAGGCTGAAAGTATACACTCACCGTCCTGAACACTTCTCCGTCTCTTAGTAACGAGGCCATAACGTGACAACCGCAGGAATTACGAAACTCTTGCCCGGTAGTTACACTGCACTCATTGACAATATTGAAAAAGCACTGAGCGATCGTTCGGCCGAGATTCCACTGTAAGGAAAAGAAGTCCAAATTTAGGTAAAATAAATTTCTAAAAAAAGTCATGGGTCACCATTTCCTGCGTGCTTTTATAACTACGTCCTGTGAAGCAGAGAAGCATCGAATTCAGCAAATATTCAAGATAGGGAAGCAGTGCTTGTGCCGGATATAAAACAATCACTCGATGGGTAAATAACGTCTGAAAAAAGTAGAGGAAACCGCTACTGACAGGATAGACTTCCAACTGCGACTCGATCGTGTCAAGTTCTTGCTAAAAAATTAAGGTTGAAACTTTGAGCAGTTAGCAATCAGTGGATCAATCACTTGGATTCCGGTCAACTTTCCGGTTGCAGATCGGCCCAGAATATCGGTCGACGACAGTGCTTCGCAGAGGGTCTTTGCGATGACCGAAGACATGGCGAAAGAAGCCAGCGCTCGAAATATACCACCTTTCAACTCAATTGGAACCGGACAACACAAAAGGCCAAGTAGAACTTTTATACAATCCCAGTTTGGCATTTCGACGAACAGATTTCGCACGACAGGACTCTGAAACAGAAAAACCATAGAGATTAAACCATTTGAATTATCTCCAGATATATTCTGAAATGCGTAGCATAGTGAAAAACGACAATAATGAAACTGAAACTTTTTGCCCCCACCCCAAAGTTCGAATGTCATTCTCCAAGGCCTAAACATGAAATCAGTACCTAACCTGGTGACCTGATCGTGGTACTTCATCTTGATTTCAGAATGTCGAACCAGCATTTGAAGTTGTGACTTCAGAAAATTAAAAGTCTCCTTTATTAGCATAGATACCACTGCTGGTTGTCTCAAGAGTTAGATACCAATTTATTCTAAATTACACGCGAACAAACGTTTTTGGTGCAGGACCAAGGTTTCGGTTAACTTACAGCTCTTTTCAACTGCAATCAGTCAGAAAGATACAAAGGTACGAACGCATGAAACCGTCAAAATTTGTTTAAAATTAACTTTTGCACTTCGTCTGGAGTTTACACAAGTTACGTCTTCTTTATCTTTTCTAATTACGAAAGAGAAAACTTAGATAAGCTTTTAATCTTTATGCACTCATTCATACTGTATGTATTTCTAATCAACAAGCGCATCCCCCCCCC